GCCTAAGTGTCAAAGATCCCACATAAAATAAGACACCTGATTTTTGGAGAGAGGTGTAGGAGAAGGAAATAATATATATTGGGAAAACAGCATTGTCTGTCCCTATAGATGTATAGCTGCATATCAAATGTTCTCCTACATATGAGGCTCACAACTGAGATATCTTCCAGTCATAAGGACTAAGAAGTCTGACTTGGCAAGAATCATACCCAGAACAAAATAGTTGGTTGGTTTTGTTGTCATTTTACTAGATTCTGTAATTCAGTCAGGCTTTCTGTCTCTCCACTCCACATATCCACACTTTACTATTGTATGCGTTCCTGATAAGAGACTACAGAAAACAGAGATGGGAAAGTTTTGTGGCCTCACTCATTCTAGAAAGTCTAATCTAAAACCTAGGAGGGGAGCACTCCTCACCAACTTGAAAACTAACTTGAATGTTAGTGAACTGCCCAGGGACAAGACTCTCACTCTGGCTTGGTCATTTTCTAGATACTGAATTTGAATAAGTTTCTTAGCCTTTTGAGTTCCCAAACTTTCCTATCTGTAAACTGGAACCTCGTTGGGAGTTCAACTCCAAAGCACTGTTCTGAGGAAGAAATAAATGAATGCAGATAAAGCATTTAGCACAGCGCCCAGTGCAGAGTTCAATAAATATTAGCACACAATTCTAATAACGGTTGGAAAGTAGAGTCTAGTTGTTTCATATCTTAGGGTAGGCTGTAGATCTAAGAAAACCTCTTGTTTTATGCATGAGTTTTGAGGATATGGCTCTTTTTGTGGTGAAATTTTATAGCTTTCCCCTCTCCTTGTTCTGAAAGCAAATAGCCATGGTCCTCAAAATCCTAGGATCTCATGAGTCAGGTTAACAGGAACACTAGACACCTATGTCTTCCCTGTTGACCAATGCTATCTTTCAGTCCTCAGACAATCCATTGTTTTACCACTCTCAGTTAAGTGAACAGTTGGTCTGGAGTTTCTCACTTAATGAAATCTGAGCTCTCTCTGCTTCCAGGGAGAGAACCCCAATATAAAAGTGGGCTTTGAAGACACTCTGGGTATGTGGGGTGGATTTTTTTTTTTTTTTTTAAATCTTAAACATAAGTTTTCTTTCTTGTTTTCCCTGCAAGGGCAGCTTCAAGTTTGTTGTATTTAGTGAGGAAGCAAAAGCCACACACTTGCCAGTGAGGATGGCAACGTGCTGAGTGAGGCTGTGGCCGAGGACTCTGGCTTCCTAGTAGGACAGGTAGACGGGGACTTTAAAGCTACTTCTCGCCTGTAGCAGCTGTTCCTTTGATCTATTCCAATTTGTAGCCTCCAAGTGTGTCCTGCTGCTGCCTGCTGCTGGGTTTATGTTAAGGGGCAGCAGTTGGCATTGCTGTTGCTATATACTTGCAACTCTTTGTGGATGGGTCTGATGGCATCATTAATGTTGTGTTGTGACATAACCTTCCCCACTGCATCAAAGGCTCATGGCATTTACTCTTCCTCAAAAGAAGATACTGATTTCTTGCTCTGTCCGTTTCCTCTAAAGCAAGTTGGGGAAGGGAGTGACCAAATCACCTGTGTGAGCCTGGGTATCCCCCAGGGAAGTTTCTTCTACCCTTGTGCTCCAACTATACTCAGAAAGAGGACCTCCCATGAGCAATTATTTCTCCTTTGTCATTCAGATCTGCCTTGACAAGTTTCAAGGACTCCATTATGAAGAAAGCTTTTAAGACTTACAGAAATCACATAGCTTTAGAAAGTGCTAATGCCTATGGTGCATTGTGCTGCCTGGAGCAGCAGGCTTGTGGCTGCTTTATCACCGATCAGTGGTTTGGTTTTGTGAATGAGACATTCAGAGGCAACTGTACAATTTAAAATTCTGATTACCACAGAGAAAGAGATACATCTGACATCCTGGTGCAGTAAACTCCAACTATTTTAATGGAACTGGAACTGGAGAAGCCTTCCTCCAAGGAAAAAGTGACAGAAAGCTTCAAGAGAGACATTTTATCTTTGTGATAAAAGGCCTGCTTTCTAAGGTTGTTTCTTTCATTAGAACTGTTCTGCAACCTGCCTGCCACTGATGCACCATGCAAACGTGTCACTCAAGGAACTGATTCTTTATCATCTTGTCTTCATACCTAAGACTTCCTAAGGTGTGTGGTGTGGGGAGGGAGATCTTGTTTTGTTTACAACTTACATAAATAAGATTTTTCATCTTTTATTCATCCTTAATAAAGGATCAGATACTTAAAAATGGATCAGTTCAACCCTTTGGCCCAAGCATTATGCTATCTTTTATTTAAAATAAATAAAACCAGGATACTCTCATTGGGTCTGCCAACTTGATCCTTTAGATATAGTCACGTGGAAGGCTTTCCTGCAGTGATGTAGATTAAGGACCAAAAAATGGTAGACATTCTCATTGAAATATATCCTGTCTCTCCAAGGAAAATACTCACACCCACAGAAGTTCATTTATAATGATGCTGAATTAACAATAGTAAGTATAACACCACTATCAGCAAAAGGGGCAGATCTGCGGTAGCAACTGATCTTACCACACAGAAGCAGAGGTATGTGAATATGAAACATGTCCTTTTTTTGTATTCCTTCCACTCCAAAGGAGCAAAGAAAAGACCCAAATTGGAAGAGTAAAAGTAAACTGCCACTCATCTGGTCACTTCTAGAAATAGCTCCATAGAATTTCACTGTTTATTCTTACATATATAAAGATGTTATTGTTTTGCATCCTTCCGGTGATTCATTGGTCTAACCTGGGGCTGTAGGAACAGTGGCCACATTGGAGGTATGGGTAATGGAGTTCATCTAAGGTCAAAAGTATTCTCTGGAGGACCTAGATGTGGAAGTCTCTCTGGCACATGGGAAGATCCAGTCTTTGTAGGTGTAGATGGACTCAACTATTTTTAGGGAAAAGATTGTGAATCAAGATCATTCTTCCTGGCTTACTTCTGGTCAAGCATTGCTCACTTGAGAAGCATCACTCATCCGAGAAACAGCCATCAAAGCTCCCCTGAAAAGGGTGGGAGGAACACAGCTTCCTATTCCCAAGCTTCTTTTCGTTCCACTTTCTCAGTTACCCCAAGTCCTCTGAGCTGCCTTCTCTCTTGGATACATCTTTCTTAAAACCTCAGCCAAGTTTTATATTCCCAAGCCCCCATGGAAACACAGGCTACTCCTTGTGCCTGAGAAATCTGCCTTCTGTTCTACTATGTCTAACACATTCTACAAGTGATCTGTAACTCAGGAGTCAGCGAATGTTTTCTGTAAAGGGCTGTATAATCACAATGTTGTTTTGCTGGCCATGCAGTCATTGGTGAGGGTACAGCGTGACATGGCTCATATACGACTTGTAAATGTCTGTGGCTGTGGAGTCAGGCTTGGTCTCCAGTTTGAAGTTTATTAACCCTTTCTATAGGGTCAACCCTCAAATAATCTTTGGTCTATGGTTTGTGGATGTGCAGTACCATTTGTCTAGAGAGAGAATGACCTGAAGGAAGCTAAAAAAAAAAAACCAGTTCAAGTCTGTAAGAGGTATCCCTTAGTCATGTAACAATTATGAAACCACACATCAAGTTTCTACCTAGATAGATGTCATCTTGAGGTAGTCCCTCCAAATGAAACTCTCATGATTTTCAGAACAGACATGATGAACAGAACTAAATGATAAATGTATCTGGAGATTACATGTTGATTTGTAAAATGTTTTCTGAAGAATATTAGCATACCAGAAGTCTAGGAGGCTGAAGAATCATTTGAATCCTGTTTAATCCACCAGCTGCTTACCCAGGGATGCGATTGTCTAGAAGATACTATATATAAAGATTAGAAAGATTCTCATTTTCAAAAAGTAGTGGTCAGCAGACATTAATATAAATGCTGACCCCCTCTCCAGAACTCTGGTGAAAGCTTCTCTCATGACTATGGACAAATATTCTGGTTGGAGAGCATTGTGTGTGTGTGTGTGTGTGTGTGTGTGTGTGTGTGTGTGTGTGTGTGTGTGTGTTCATTTACAACTAAGAATGCATTTTAGCAGTTTCTAGTCTGAACTGAAATTTTTAATCTTCTCATGCTAGAGATCCTCTGTATTACCTGATGTCCTGTGGTTCCTTAACCTCATTAAAAACCAGAATTAACCAGAATTTTGTATCATGTGTTCCTCCATAGAGTTCTTGATTTATATCCTCAATTGCTATTATTTTCATTGTGTGTTTGTGTGATTTGTTTGCTCTCAGATTCAATTTTGCATGTGTGACCATAATATTTTTTTAATTGTCATAAAATTCCCAAGGAGTATGTCACATTTGGAAATAAAATCAGAAGAGGTTCAGGGAATTGTGTTTTTTCTTCTTATTCATAGACAGTGGGTGAGAGATGGTCAAATGCAAAGGCAGTTTGTCTGCTTAAACAAAACAAAACACCCCCTCCCAAACAACCCTGTCTTCTTTATATACTTAGCCACAAGGGACTTCAGAGTTATTGTTTATCTGAAGGGTATAGGGTAGGTACTTCTAATTGCTAAGAAGAGCTTTTAGTGACTTGAAAATGATACCTGTGTGTGAGACAGGCAGATCCTGGTGGAAAGGGCCTATAAGATCCTGGCAGAAAGGCCTATAAGAGGTTCAGTAACCTGAGGCCCCTTACAGGATCCTGTTTTAGATTTCCATACTGCAAATGGAGCAATTTTAAGTTCTTGGCCTAAAATGGACCCATCCAGTGCCTCTGCATAAGATATACAGAGAGGGTGAAGGGAGCCAGGCCTGGCCTAGAAGCCAGAAGTCCAAGTCATGAGTCAGGTTAGGACAGTCCCTGCTTTGTGGCAATAAGCAACTGAGGAGTACATTCCGTGTATGCAAACCTCAGCCTGTTGCTTGTATGTCATATCAGAAATAGCAAACCTCTTTTTTTTTGTCTCCTATAACAAACCGTTCAGCTTGTGGAGTAAGAAAAGTTAGAACCTTGTGGAGAACAAAAACAAAAACAAATACCACTGAGGCCTACAAAAGCAACTTCATTCAAGATTGTAGGGCCGCTGTTTCATCTAGTTTCAGTTATACCTGCATTCTGGGCTCCTCAGAGTCCAAATGTGGAAACCAGTTGGTTTGTCTACCAGTTTCTGATGCCCAGTCATGACTAAACCATTTCCCTTCAACCACCCAAAATAAACTACAGATAACAAGATAACTAGGATGTGCTTCTCCTTGCTGAGTGCATTGGCTTAAGGCATAGGCACATTTCCCCCTCTTTGAACAGAGATGGTGTAATCCCCTGTCCCAGCACAAGAGCTGGCCAGGGTGACCCTGGGGCATGGCAATGAAAGTGGGGTTAAGAGGTAGCTGATGGCGGGAATTAGAGACTATTTCCATATAGTGTCCATATAGGGATTGGGTGCTGCTGAACCCAGGGGACAGTGGTTCTGATGAAGACACATGACTCTGTTTTATTAACCTGCTGTGAGTAATTCTGGCAGCATGTAGTGGCTTAGGTCTCACAGCAGTGAGTTCAGGAATATGAATACCCCAGCACTGACAAAACCTACAAGAGCAAAGCAAGAGAGTCTGTGCAAGCCCTTGAAAATCTGATGTGTCTCTCAATGGCCTACTCATCTCAAGAAACTTAGGAAAATTAGTTAGCTTCCCTATGGTACTCTTAGTTAGATTTCCATCTTGAAATAACTTCTCTTGGGATCTGGAGCTCACTCTTTGGGATTCTGATTGATTTAATGATTTTGAGTTCATCTGTTGGATAAAGTCAGAAATGAGAACCCAAACACTTGGGAGACAGGTTTTCCTGAAATGAGATGTCTTGCCCATGTATTTTTTGTCTGTCAGTCCATTGAATAGCTTCTAGCCTTTGGCGGAGGAGCTGATGTCCTCTTCTATGCTGATTAAAAGCTCTTACTCTTTGACTGTGGGAAACTATGTGAGTTAAAGGAAGTAGAATAAGTAGAAGTCAGGTGAGTGATTTATATTCTTTCAGAATTCAACCTCCCTGCCCCCATTCTTTTAGCCACACAACTCCTAGTATGTTGGTCTACAAAGGAAGGGTGGCCATTATGAGTTTTTGTGACTAATTTCTATGGGTGTACCCTAGCCTTATCTTGAAGAGAAGAACTTAGCCATCTTGGCTGAAGCTAAGAAAGGGAAACCAAATGTCTATGTTTTAAAGACAGCCTCACTATGTAGCCCAGGCTGGCCTCCATCACCACAACTTGCCTGGTGTTGGGATTATAGATGGGTCAAATGTTTATCTTTTATACCAATGTATCATTACTTGAGAGTGATCCAAAGATTCCCGCCATCACTGCCTCTAATGACTCTAAGAGAGAAACTAGGGATTACTTGAAAATATCGATGGATATTCTCTAAGTGCGCAATCCACTGTGTGATTTGAAATTGCCTGGGGAATGCTGGGCCTGAATGGGTTCTTAGATTCTGTCATGTGGGTGATGGGGGTGGGGTGGAAAAATGACAGTGGATGATGTCACAGGGTCACCCATGGTTCCTTTTGTACTGAAACCTCATTTTATACAGAGGATATATATATTTATTTATATATATTTATATATATTTATATCCACTCACCACACACACAAACCCACTCATACACACACACACACACACACACACACACACACACACACACAAAAGGTCTTTGATAGGCTTTCTGTGTTCTAGTAAAAATAGCTGGCAGCCAGTGTCTCAAGCCAAAAAGGGCCTTTATGCTGCCGACAATTGTCCACTATGGATAGTCCTTCAAAGGCAGACACTTGTGTTTATCTGACAAGTGGAACCAGTTCCTGCCTGGGACAGAAATAACCTCCCATTGGCGCAGACGCAGATCTCGAAGACCTTCTGCCTCGTTCCTGTGGGTGTGTAGGATCCACGAGGCAGCCTAGGTAGTTTGATTTTCGCAGCATCTAACTTAATCTAGAGAGACAAAAATAGCAAAGAAAGAGTCAGTTAGAGGCTGCCATATAAGTTCTTGAAATTCAGAAAGAGCCGAATATTCCATTCAATTTAAACCTTACAGGTACTGACTTGGGCTGAACAATGTTGGTAGTTGGGATAAGACAGCTTCTATGGAGCTCAGAGGTTAAGAGCACTGGCTGCTCATCCAGAGGTCCTGAGTTCAATTCCCAGCAACCACATGGTGGCTCACAACCATCTACAGTGGGATCTGATGTCCCCTTCTGGCATAAAGTTGATAGAGAACTCATATACATAAAATAAATAAATAAATAAATAAATAAGTCTTAAAATAAAAGTCAGTCTCTAATCTCACGCACCTATAATCTAGCAAGGTCATGCCTTATTGGTTGATGTTAGCATTTTTGCAAAAAGTGTGATATGCAGAATAAGAATAGTGTCATAGAATCAAATAAATGTAGGAATGACCCAGTAAACAGTTTTCATTACTACAAGGCATTGCATGCTCATGGCTAATATGAAGTTACTGGAAGACAGTAGAACACATAGAATACATGTTTTAAAAGATTAGTAAGCCTTCCTTTGCTTTCTTTTTCTAATGGTGACACTAATATGAAACAGAATATACTTTGAGAAATGCTGGATATATATAAAAAAATAAGCTGTGGCAAAAAGTGTCATTGAGTTTTTGATTATAACTGCCTCCTCCAGAGGTCAAGTTTGAGGGGCTGTGAGCTGCCTTTATGAATCAGTTTCTGTTTTTATGAGTGTGACTTGCAGTTCATGGCTATTTGAAGAGGCAGTTGTCATAATGGAAGGCTCCATCAGACAAATTCTTTTAAAACAAAAAAGCAAATGTCTAACTAAACCAAACATTTTTTAAAAGATACTCACTGAGTGGATATAATTATGCAGAGAGCTAGACACCCTCTACACAGATATGCAATGTGGAGTAGTGTTTTATCTTAAAAAGTCAGGATGCCCTTTTTAATTTCATTCTTAAATAAAACAGTTCACCTATGAACACATAAAAATCCCTGTGTAATCTGCAGTCCTATCAGACTCTTGCTGCTAGGGGAATTTGGCGTAACTTGTCTATAAAATTACAAGTGGCATTTATGTTCAATGACTGGGCTTGTGTTGTGGTAAGGAGAGTCAACAGCACTTTACTCTTTGGCCATCGATTCTGACCCTGTTAGTTTCTGGCTTGTTCTGACTCAGGATAGTGCTTAGACCCAATTTCCCATTCTCAAAGAGAACCCAAGCACATAACATAAAAGAAGTACATGTGAATTAAGTTTGTTTTCAGCCACATGGGTGTATACACAACTTAATCCCAGCACTTCACAAATAATGAATCATAACTTTTATGTGCTATGGGCTTGGCTTATCATCATGTTGTTCAACTGTCTTATGGGCTCCTTGGGTTGATAATGTGTAAGATTAATCTCAGTGCAAAACAGCCTAGGGGAAAGGCTGGCCCTCAGGCCAGTGGACTCCCAATTTCTGTCCTTCCCACTCCTTACCTCCCCATCCTTGGACTCCAGTCTCAGCTCACTTCTGCAGGTAGCTTCCATATTGCCCGCTTCTGCATTTATTTCTACCCCTTTTGGGGCTTCCATCACTAGAGATCTGGTTGGGGACTCCAACCTGAAATACAAACCACAGAATGAGGATCTTTTTCTCTGCTTAGGAATTTTAGGAAGCTGATGCTCATGGCTTTGGAACAGCTACAGCACTGGATCTAATTTGTCTAGATTTTGCTTTACAAAATACATGACTGTGAAAGAGAACATAGGGGCCTGGGTGTTATCTTCTTCACATTTCACAAAGGTTGTAAGGAAGATATTATAAGATAATAGCCTTATCTTATCTTTTTTTTTTTTTTTTTTTTTTTTTTTTTTTTTTTTTTGGTTTTTCGAGACAGGGTTTCTCTGTGTAGCTTTGCGCCTCTCCTGGAACTCACTTGGTAGTCCAGGCTGGCCTCGAACTCACAGAGATCCGCCTGGCTCTGCCTCCCGAGTGCTGGGATTAAAGGCGTGCGCCACCACCGCCCGGCTGCCTTATCTTATCTTATACTTGATGCTTGTTTTTAATTCTTTATTAGTAAAATCAACCAAATTTTACCTATATCTCTCCCTTTCTATGATTATTGTTATTTTAAAAAGTAAGAGGAATCTAGCACCTAGATCTCTAGAATGTTTTCACTCTGTCCTACTGTCTGGATCTTAGGAAGGCACAATCAGAACAAAGTTAAGAAAATAGATCTAGGTGGCTGGAGAGATGGCTTAGTGGTTAAGAGTGCTCCAGGGGTATCCAATGCCCTCTACTGGCCTCTTCCATCATCTGCATGCACATGTACATACAAACCCATGTGTATACCTCCCCCCACCATGTACACACACAATTAAAAAAATAAGATCATTTAAAATAAGAAAATAACTCTAAGTGTCAGACAGTCTTAAAATCAAGCTGTGATATGTCCCCATTTATTGTGATGGCTAATGTTATGTTTTAAGTTTAAATTACTGTGCTTCGGAGATCTATAAAACAAAACTGACTCTAACCTGTAATGCCCCACTTGCTCAAGGACAGATATATTCCTGGAATGCTGAGTGCTGTTGTTCATATAAGGTAACAAGTTATGTGTTTTTGCTTCTGTAGACAAAATTGGTTGCCCCAACTGCACAGCCCTAATTGATCACAGGTAGGCAGGAAGTACATCAGGATGTGTGCTTGCCTCTGATTGCATGAAGGCATAAAATACAGAGCCTTGTTAGTTCTGCTTTTATAGGCCCCTGACTAATATAATTTGGTGCCATACTTTGAGTATGAATCTCAGGTATGGACCTGGCCAGTATTCATTGTCCTGGCCACTATTTAATAAAGCCTCTTCTTTATTAAATTTTATTCATGGTCAGACTGATGAATCTCTGAATGACTCCAGACCCATAACATTATAACTACAGGCAATTCTTTTTCCTTTTCCTAAATTTTCTCAAAGCCTCCGTTTCTTTATCTATAAAGTTCAAGTCAGGCTTGGCACTAGAAATATAATTTGGTCTAAAATATTATGATTGCAGGTGGAATATTACTTGCCTGAAATTTCTGGAAACCAAATGTGTTTCAGTTTGGAAATGTCTAGATTTTAGAAGACCTTACTGGAACATTCCTTATCTGAAAACCCCAAATACTGCAAATAATGGCCTCTTAGTGTCACTTTTTTTTTTAGTTTGGAGCATATCAAGACTTTTAAGACTAGGGACAGTCACCCTGTTCTGGGGTTGACATTGCTATTATTATACCAGCAAAAAAGCATGTTTGAGTTTTGTGATGTAGATTTAGAATAGACCAAGGGCTGCCTGGGTCAGGGAGGGGAACTAGTTGGGACATGAAGAGGGGCTGCTTTGGGATGTGGAACAGTAATACTTATCTTGATTATAGCTCAGTACCGACTCTATGTCTCTATGCATTTTTGAAAATGCAAAATTTAGTCAATTTTATTGATTTTAAGAAAAATCAACCTTGTTCTATGCTAATTATAATGGCAAAAAGAGACGGTATTTTTGACTAGCTCACTTTAATGAGAAAAAGCTCAATCATCCCCATTGATCTTCTAGATTTGAACAGTGTCAGAGGAGAGGTAGGTATTCATGAAGATGCTTGTTACAGAGAAAGCAGCTCAACCAAGGAGCAGGACCCAGCACCAGCTTTAGAATTGCCACTTTCTTCTTCTTCTTCTTCTTCTTCTTCTTCTTCTTCTTCTTCTTCTTCTTCTTCTTCTTCTTCTTCTTCTTCTTCTTCTTCTTCTCCTTCTTCTTCTTCTCCTTCTTCTTCTTCTTCTTCTTCTTCTTCTTCTTCTTCTTCTTCTTCTTCTTCTTCTTCTTCTTTTCTTCTTCTTCTTTTCTTCTCCTTCTCCTCCTCCTCCTCCTCCTCCTTCTTCTTCTTGTCAGTTTCCCTAGTTAATGTTTCCAGCTTTCATGTTGAAAAGTAATATCATCCTTTTTACCCACTGCTGGTTACCTAGTTTGTTCTACCACTCCATACATGGGTAGGGCAAACCCTTTAGTGCCTCAGAAAAATGGCCACAAGGACAAACTAGCTAGTGAGTTGGCACCACAGAGCAATCCCATCATGTCAAGATAGGTACTTGGAAGGCTCCTCCACCCTTCCTGTTCTCAGCTGCTTCCAAGAAGCAGCCTTGTCCTTGAAGATCCCCCCCGCCCCCCGCGTGCTGCCAAGAATAACTCCACTGGATCCACAAAGAGAAGTAGTGGGGTCATCATACTTCTTACAAAAGACTTTCCCTTCGATTCAGTTCATAGTTGCCTTACTGATCTCACTCCCCTGTGTCGGACAACCATCTCTCCAACCCACAGTCTCATCACAAGACCTTCCCCAAGGTTGCTCCAGTTGGGTGTGTTTTTCCTTATTGTATGACTTACTTCATTTGTATAGGGCTTTTCTCATGGCCTAGGAATACTCTCAGTGTAATGTGGATGAAGTTTTGTTACTAGCAAAGCAGGATGTGATGTCATGCAGGGCTACGAAGCTTCATCTAATCCAGGAGCTTGTCCCAGGTTGCTGATCTCCTCTCACTCCTGAGACAGGCAGATAGCTTGGGACCATTTCTCGTTCTCGTTCTCTCTCTCTCTCTCTCTCTCTCTCTCTCTCTCCTTCTTTCCTCCCTCCCTTCCTTCCTCCATCCCTCTTTTTTTCTTTCCTTTCATACACAGTCTGGCTGACTTAGGCAGGTTATCTGGAGTTTTCTTACATCTTTGCTTCTACTAATATTGATCTCTTTCTCACTGCATCACGCATTTCTTTGGCAAGTTATTATCTGATTAAATGAAAAGACATGTGATTCTTAGCGTGTGCGCTCGACCTGCAGTATAGGCGGGACAAGGAGGAGAAAAAACTGGGAAGTGGAAGGCTGAGTCAGAGAGACACTGCCAGCCGCCATGATGACAAGCCGCATGTGAAGATGCCGGTAAGCCACGAGCCATGTGGCAAGGTATAGATTAATGGAAATGGATTAATTTAAGCTGTAAGAACAGTTAGCAAGAAGCCTGCCACAGCCATACAGTTTGTAACCAATATAAGTCTCTGTGTTTACTTGGTTGGGTCTGACGGCTGTGGGACTGGCAGATGAGAGAGATTTGTCCTGACTGTGGACCAGGCAGGAAAACTCTAGCTACACATTTCCATTCTTTTAGCACTACTTCCTGCCCAGTTCATCAGTGACACTGCTGACTTCCACCACGCTATCTGTTTTCCTTCATCCCTTTTTCCATCTCTGCCTCCTCTTATTTCACCAGTTAACTCAGCTTTTAACTCGCTTTTGTAGACTAGGTCATCACTAACATAGACTATTGTACCTTCTGTACCCCTTTGTCTCAAGTGTTTCCTTTACCTTACTGGACTTCACAGACAGATATAGATTATCTTCCCTTTTGAAACTTCCCTAATCTTCCCAGGAAAGATTTGAATTCCTATGCTACCCAGCCATTTAGAATTTGGTCTAATTTATTTTGTTGATCTTTATTCTTCTTTTTAAAAATGTATTTATTACTGTCATGCCAGGGAGGGAAGTATGTGCCACTGTGTACATGTGGAGATCAGAAGACAGCTTGGTTCTCTCCTCCACTTGCACATAAATTTCTAGGATTGAACATAGGTTACCAGGCTTGTACTCTAAGCCGTTACCCTCTGAGCTGTATGTCTGGCTCTGGTCTCATTTCTTCCTACAGCCATTATGGTGATATTTTATTTGTACTGAAATGTGATTTTATTTGTGTTAATAAATAACGTTGCCTGGGGGTCAGAGCTAATAGCAAGCCATAGCAGAAGTCTGGCAGTGGTAGCACATGCCCTTAATCCCGATCACATGACAGGCAGATCTCTGTGTGTTCAAGGATACCACCAGCGTGGAGACACACGCCTTTAGTCTCAATACCAACCATAGAAGACCTACAGGTCTGTATAGATGGGCAGTGAAGAGGAGGTCATATGGTTGGGTTTACAACCAATGAGAAGGCAGAATAGAAAGTCAATAAAAAGGACAAACACACAGGAAGTAAGTCTCTTGCGGAGAGGTAGGACAGCTGCGGCAGTGAAAGGTAAGGTTTCTAATCTCAGCTCTTAGCTATTGCTCTGACCTCTTGGCTTTTAACTCTGTATTTGGCTCTGTATTTCTTATTTAACAAGACGGTTACATCTACAAGCCATCATCTTTATTTTTACTGAATTTATAAGGTGATTCTATATATAGGGTACCATATGTAGGATCTTAGTCTTCATGTCAATGTAGTGTCCTCATAGTCCTGGTTGGTAGAAACAGATAGCTAAGCTTAAGGGACTTGATCAGAGTTTTATTTACAGTCAAATTTACAGAAACCAGATTTGAGCCTAATTTAGTAGAAATCAAAGTCAATATGTTGCTTACTGGACTGTATCACTTCTAGAAAAACTGTTCCCACCCACCCACCCCCATCTATATGGGTACACTGTAAATAAATGCCACTCTTTCTTCATGGAATTAGTGCTTATGTTTCCAGAATGTGTCCATGAATGAGAACGAGAAGCTAGCACCATACACGGCCAAGTGATGCACATGTCACATTCTGTACAAGTCACACAATAGTTCTCAC